GGTGAGGACATCATCAGGACTGATTATGAAGCACTGGGGGCCCTGACCTCCGACCTTTAACAGTTCTACACATGGTGGCAGGAAGAAATGGGGAGGACGAGTATCTAGTCTGAGAACCCTCTGAATGTCAGATCCTCACGTGGACCTTCAGGATGTGCCACACTTGGAGAGGACCAGGCCTCAGAAGGCAGACAGAGTCTGCAGTGTGGGAGCTCCAGAATGTGTGCAGTCCGGGATGCATGCAGACCAGATGGGGGCTGGGCAAAGCACACCCTGCCCCAGTCCGGAACTGAGGCGCTAACTGCGGAAGCAAGCACTTCCTGAAGGGGCAAGGCAGTCCTACCCTCTCAAATGATAAATTTTAACAGCCCCAAATAGATGACAGGAGGAAGAGACTGCAAGGGGTTCTGTTTGATCCTAAATCAAAGGGAACGTGGGACAGCAGTGTTGCACCACAGTGGAGGTTACAGAACATAGCCTCAGGGTAGGTCTCCAGGGATCCTGCAGAGTCTCGGGATAACAGGTCAGGGATCCTGCAGAGTCTGGGGATAGCACGCCAGGGATCCTGCAGAGTCTCGGGGTAACATGCCAGGGATCCTGCAGAGTCTCAGGGTAGGTCTCCAGGGATCCTGCAGAGTCTCGGGATCGCACGCCAGGGATCCTGCAGAGTCTCGGGATCGCACGCCAGGGATCCTGCAGAGTCTCGGGGTAACATGCCAGGGATCCTGCAGAGACTCCAGATTGGACTCCAGTGATCCTGCAGTCTTGGGATAGCACGCCAGTGATCCTGCAGTCTCAGTATCAGACTCCAGGGTTCCCCTAGAATGGATCTGCAGGCTGTCCCATGGCCTGGAATTTACTTCCCGTCTCCCACAGACATTTCAGCATGTCGTCGCCCACCTCCTCCCTGAGCAGCACTTCCGGGAGTACCCTGCCTCCTCCCTCAGTGGCCCATGTGTCAGTTCCCGGGCCATTCTTACACCTGACCTCTATGCCTCCTCAACTCCCTAAAATTCCACTCCTGCTTCACTAAGGGGCCTAGCCTGGCCCAAGGTCTTATAAGTAGTGCATAGAGCCTTCTCTCTCCCTGAGGACCACGCAAGGTCAGGTGAGGACAGCCTGTGCCGGTCTGACCACTTAGCCCCCCACTTGCACCCATCCACGGCAGAGCTCAGACTCCTCCCGAAGGCCTAGACGCTCCAGAGAGACAGATAAGGACACAGCCATCCCCAGAAGCAGGCGACCCAGCACTAAGGCAGCCGCCATCATCATCGTGGAGGACACTGAGCAGGAAGAGTGCCTGGAGCCCCAGGGCTCACCGCAGGGATGCCCACCTCTGGTGCCTGGGTCATCACCACCCAGGAGAGGCACCACACCACCACCAGGGCAGGCCTTTTCCAGCTGACACTCCAGGTGAGTGAAAGACAGGGGGTGCAAGCTGCCTCATATCCACTCTAATTCCTAAAAGTGAGAGATTCTGGGCAACTTCCTGCATGAGTGATCTTCTCTAGGACTGTGGTTGGCTCCCGACTGGGCAACTGGGATGGGAGGAGCCAGGAGCTCTGGCTGACAGGAGGTTTTGGCTGAGCAAGGAACCACAGTGCTAACTGGAACCACAGTGATGGACAGTTCTACAAAAACCCAGCTCAAAAGCCTGCAGAGCTTGACAGATCTGAAGAAATCAGGGCAGAAGAGACTTTGTCCATCTTGGAGGGTGAGAGGAGCTTTCCTGGGGGACAGAAGGCCAGCCAGAAAAGAGTGGCATGGACGGGGCCTGGAGCCCTGAAATCAATATCAGAGGGGTGAGGCAGGGGTCCTGTAGCCCACAGCCTGCTGGGAACCCTGAGGCAGGTGTCAGGATCTGAGGCAGGTGGAGTTTGCCAGGGCTGTGGGTGGGTGTGGCCACATCTTCAAGCAGAGAGCAGACTCTCAAGGGGTCTTGGAGACCATGGCTTTGGTATTCTATGGCCTCAAGTACAGGGCTAGCTCACTGTGTCTATGATTACTTTGACCAGTGGGGCCAGGGCACCCTGGTCACCGTCTCCTCAGGTAAGCTGGTTTTCTTTCTGCCTCTGTCTGGAACTGGGAAAGACCGTGCCACGGGTCCGTTTTGTGTAGAGCTGTCTGGGACTCACGGGGGTCTCTGGGCTGTGGGTTCTGCGTCCTGCCGATGGCTTTTCTGAGGCGTGGGGCTGGAGAACAGGGAAAGCTGAGGGCCACCCTGGGCTGTGGTAACCAGGGGAGGCAGGCCAGCCAGGCTCCTGGGGAGTCAGGTTTTTGTAGATGTCCTAAAGGGGTCTGAGGCAGTGTGACTACTTTGCTTACTGGGGCTCCGGAACCCTGGTCACCGTCTCCTCAGGTGAGTCCTACATCTGAGAAGTGTTGGGAGGAAGGGTGGGGAGTTTATGAACAGGGCCAGCAGGAAAGTAGATACTGTGTTACTGGTACTTGGATTTCTGGGGCCAGGGCACCCTGGTCACCGTCTCCTCAGGTAAGCTGGTTTTCTTTCTGCCTCTGTCTGGAACTGGGAAAGACCATGCCACGGGTCCGTTGTTTTGCCTAGAGCCGTCTCGGGGTCACCGTGGTCTCTGGGGCTGTGGGCTCTGCGTCCTGCCGATGGCTTTTCTGAGGGACAGGACGGGGGGAACTGAGGGCCACCCTGGGCTGTGGTAACCAGGGGAGGCAGGCCAGCCGGGCTCCTGGGGAGTCAGGTTTTTGTAGATGCCCTAAAGGGGTCTGAGGCAGTGTGACTACTTTGAATACTGGGGCCAGGGCACCCTGGTCACCGTCTCCTCAGGTGAGTCCTTTCAGCCCCTCTCCTCTACTTACTTTGGAGAAGTTTGCACTATTTGGAAGGGAGGGAAAGTGAGTGTGTCTGAATCTCAGGTCGGTGTGGACAAGGCAGCCTGGGGTCCGGGAAGAGGGGTCTCAGACTCCACAGACAGATGCCTTCTACTTGTGGATTCTGCCGCCGGGACCCCACCACGGGTCCAGGCTCTCCTTGGCCACCAGGGTCCCCGGTCCCTGCTGTCCCCGGTCCTCACGGGGCTCCTGTCCAGAGGACCCGGGAAGGCCCCTGTTCTCACCAAGTGCCCTTCCATGGTTGATTGCCTGGGATGGGACCCTGGTCTCCTTTTCCTCTAGTGGGTCCTGCCTTTTTCTTAGTTTAACTGCACTTGAGATCCAGATCATTTGGGGGACTCAGAAAGGGAGCTAGTGAGAGGGTCCCCACAAACGGGCCTGCAGATCCCAGCTGGGCCGGGGAGCCCAGGACGGTTCTCTTCACTGGCCGTGGGGTGGCCCCCTCCTCTCGGGCCAGCCTGGGACGGCTGCGGCCAGCTGGACCTGCCCCCGTTCAGGGACGGCTACGCTCCTGGGCGAACTGGGGACTTACTCATTGGAAGTCACACTTTCCAGGCCAGTGGCAGTTTGGCTTCTGAGAGTCTAGACTGGAAATTTTGGTGGCTCCAGCCGCGTCTGGCCAGTGGGAGCAAGAGCCATCTAGGATAATAACCTGAACTGTCAGCTCTGATGTGGTGTCTGAGACCAGTTGGAGTGTGGGTGGCAGGGGCCGTGGCAGTAAAGCACCCAGGTTTATGTAGGATGTGGATGGGAACTCCACCATTGTGATAACGCCTTAGATATCTGGGGTCCGGGGACCCAAGTCACCGTCTCCTCAGGTAAGAACTGCCTCTCTGGGGCCTTCATCTTCTGCCTGTGGGGTTTGCTGAGCATCACAGAGCGGTCCTCGGGACGTGTCCCCAGAGGGACCCAGGCAGGCTGGGCAGGGACAGCCAGGGGCTGGAGCGTCTCTGGGCTCTGAGAGCCTCCTTGGGTTTTCTGATGCTTTTTGAAAGCTGGACTAAGGACAGGCACCTCTGCTGGTGTGGCTCCAGGGACAGACATGATGCTAAGCCGGTCCCAGTGACCGGAGGGTAACCGCGACTGTTGGGCGACTCCGCTTGGGAGTCGCCCGCTGGTGACAGCATCTGTGGGGCATGGTAGCCAGGCCGACGCTCCGGGGTGGAAGGCTTTCTTCCACACAGCAAGGGATGTG